CACTCTTTTGCATGATTCGCACACGTACAGGTGCCTACCAGATTCTCAGAGGTGCCTACTCTAAGGGTCAGAATTGCCACAGCAGAATACAAGAGGTACAGAGGTACAACGGAGGCAAGGTGCTGTCATATTACATCTTTGAAACTGGGTTGCTCCAGTGAAAGGCAGGATGTGAGGTGGGCACAGAGTTGCTTAATTCAGTCTGCTTCTTGCATCACTCAGATCTAAGTGTGTGTGCTTCATTAAATCCAATTCACAGAATCTTCAAAGTGGTGGTCAGCCATGCCTCTACAGAAGAGTCAAGGAAGATGATGGAATATGCCGCAGTCCAGCCGTTGCAACTGGCTGGAAGCTCCAACTAATGTTCTCATCATGACTTTATCAGAGTTCAGATGGGGAAGCTAAACAACTCTGACTTATGGGATAAGGGAAATATTATAAGAATTAGACCTTACAAACTTGTAGAAGCTGGGGAAGTGAAGGTCTGAAAGGGGGAGTAGTAGGATCCAGAGGAGTTCTCCCGCTGGCACCTCTGTGGAAACAGTTCCAAGCACAATCTCCCTCTTCCTTCAACAAATGTAGATTTTCATTATTATTTGCCAATATTTCAGCAGGACTAGGCAGCCTACCAGATGGGGTGACCCAGACCTTCATCCCAGAGGTATCTGAGTTCTTGGTTTCTTTATCCATAGTTGCTAATACAATTGCTGAGTCTCTGTTATCACTGGGCAAAGAAGCACCAGATGTCCCAGTGAATTCCTTGGTTTCCAAAAAAACTCTTTCCTGCTCCTGTTGTCTAGAACTCCAGACTTCAAGTGATCCTCCTGTCTTGGCCTTTCAAAGTGCTGGGATTATAGGCTGAGCTACCACATCCCACCTTCCTGCTTCTGTTGTATCACCACAAACCCTGCACCTTGGTTCATCACGCTCAAGATCCATTCCCGCAAGTGTACCTTCAGGACCTGCCAGTGCACGTAGCCAGGTTTTGTGATTCTTTGGCTTTCTTACACTCTTTCCTCCCAGAACAGGGACTATTTTTCCCAGTCAGACTGTGTTGCGAACCTGATCCTGATTATTGATTTAGAGGTAGTTAAAGGAGACAAGGGAAGATCTTGAAAAGGACAAGTATTATCTTTTCAGGCCCCTGTAGGATCTCCAGACAAGGGGAGGCTGCTATTCTCTAGCAAGGAATTTGGGAAGCTGCTTCTCCCAGCCTAGAAAATTCAGGTTAATCTTGGGGCTTAATATGCTCAGCTGATCCACCCAGATATCCCCGTTCCAGGTTTCTGTGTCCCTCTGTTCCTGTCAGAATCCAAATTTTATCATAGAAGACTTGTTGAGGCTTTTTTCACATCTCTTTTGTAGCTCTGATATTCTTAAAATTAAATCTTGAGCCTGAGTTTTGGCAGTGTGCCTGCAGCTGCAGGACATAGGGTCTCTTTAAACACTGACCTGGAAGTCTTCAGACTTTGAAGAATGCCTGTATTTGAGGGTTGGCTAATCTGAGCCTGTCATTTTCTTTTTTCCTGGCTTCTAAAGCTGTTAACTAAAGC